ACCTTAGTACACGTGTGGTTTTGTTTACAAATTTTGGTTCACTTGCAAAAAGGGCAGTGTGAAAGCAAACCACACCAAACAAAAAAAAATCTATATTGTATTTGGTCCGGATCAGAGCAAGTGAACTAGCGGATTTCCTGGTGTGAATACACCCATAGAAAAAGCAATTGCAACACTTTATTTCATTAATTAATTAATGAATCAGCGTTTTTTTTAACATGCTGTTGAATGAACGATTTGACTCACTCAAAGACAGTCCGTTGCCGTGACCTAGTGGCGTAACAATGTAACCTGCACTGACTGACAGACAGTCTAGAATGCTTAGAGGCAAGCAGTGCTGATGCTGGAACTTATTGGGAAATATCAGCAGTCTTAGAAAGCCTCTCGTCCAGTCAGATTCGAGGATCGGAACTAACTGTTACACATATAATAATAGCCCAACAATCTTATTGTCAAGTTTGTTCTGTTATGTGGACCCTTATTTTGACATTCTGTTGTGTTTCCTTTAGTTCCTGTTTCCCCGCTCTGTTTAGTTTCGGTTTCATTAGTTACTAATTATGATCTCGTTTGTGGCTATAGTTGGATTACTAATAAAGCCTGTTTTGTTTTTGAATCTCCTTTGTGTTCCTGCCTGCTGACCACATCGCAACGCTTAAGCCTGGTTCAGACGGGACGATTTTTAAATTGTCGGCCGATTTTCCAAACCTGAGAGACCCCACACACGGCGATAAAAAATCACGGGTCTAACAGTTTTGGTCGTACAGTGTGTGGTGCGCTGCCACACAGCAAAATCAACACATCACACACGAACCGATTTGACTCCCGAGCATTCCCAGATCAAACGGAAAATCTCGCAAAATCCCTCGAGATAAACAATCATGGCGGACGAAGAGGATGCAGTGGCGATAGTTTGTAGTTTGTTTTTAACCGAAAAAAAACGTTATCAAAAGAAAAGGCGATGGTCAAAGAATCTCCGACGTCCACCGGACTTTCTGGTGCGCCATGCCGCCGGCTGTTTTGATTTTGTTTCCCGGTGCTTCCTCTGTGCATCGTCACCTCGCTTTCTGATTGGCTACATGCCACAGTCCACAGGCTGCGTGCTCGTTTGTCCCCCGCGGACACCACACACGAGGAGAAATCGGGCCAAAAAAATCCAACATGTTGGATATCCCCGATTTGAGATCGGAGCGGTCCTGACGTCCTTCCGAGCAGACAAGAGCAGTCTTAACACACCACACACTGCAGGAATATCTGATCAAATTATTTTACGATAATCGGAGCATCCTTAAGATTGTCGGAAGGGGTAAATCGGGACTAAAATCGGCCTAATTATCCTGCCGTGTGAACCAGGCTTAAGTTATAGCAAAAACATAAAAATATTTTAATAAATCACCTCAAGGGAAATTTCTTCACCGCGACAGCCCTAGTGTGCAGCACATATTTACATATTCATCTAAACGTTGCTCTCAGTTGCGTGGACCGCATTGGGATGTTCGCTGCAATGGTATTTCCGACTTTTTACTTCTAAGTAGGGATGTGACGGTGAGGATATTTTCCCACCGGTTAATCGACGTGTGTTCTGCTCGCTCCGCGCCCGTTGACGTGCGGCCGTGCATATGTTAGTTTCATTTTCAAATTAGCGCCAATTCGGGGTGGATTACTTGAATGGTTAGTTCATTAGCCTATTATTCTTAATGAAAAACACAACAAAACAGTGCAATGACAAATTCGCTTAAATAGGCACTTTTACATTTCGCTTTGACACCAAATATTCCGCAGTCACCTTGTCAGTCAGCCCCTTACTCTCATGATGATTGATACCTGACTCCTGTTGCTGATCTGTGCGGCGACTCTTGTTCGGCTCACGATTTATTACAGACATTTTCAGTTTAATAGTGTCTGTTCTCTAACTGAACTAATGATTTTATAAAAAAGAAAAAATCAAATCGACCGTGGGGGGCGGTGCCACGGTGGGCAAGAGATGTAACCGGTGTTGCTTCTGAACACCGGTAACACCGACTATCGTAGCAAGCCTACTTCTAAGCGAAGAACGAAAAAGAACTTCACTGAGTATATCGGGTAACTAAATCACGCTCCGTCTCTTGTACGTCACGTGTGCACGAGCACGAGCAATACGTTTCTGGCTGCAGTTCACTTAACGGCCACCGGTGTCTTGTTGCTAATAACAAGGGTTTCTGAATTCTACATATAGCCCCTTAAATGGGTGGGCTAAATAATTTTATAGAATAACCGTTTTATAAAAGCAGTAAGCTACGGAGCCCCCCCAGTCCCACTTTGTCAAAAAAATGTATTATAACTATCTCGTGGCCTCAAGATAAGTATCTCGTGGCCTCAAGATAGTATCTCGTGGCCTCAAGATAGTATCTCGTGGCCTCAAGATAGTATCTCGTGGCCACGAGTTAGTATCTCGAGGCCACGAGTTAGTATCTCGAGGCCACGAGTTAGTATCTCGAGGCCACGAGTTAGTATCTCGAGGCCACGAGTTAGTATCTCGAGGCCACGAGTTAGTATCTCGAGGCCACGAGTTAGTATCTCGAGGCCACGAGTTAGTATCTCGAGGCCACGAGTTAGTATCTCGAGGCCACGAGTTAGTATCTCGAGGCCACGAGTTAGTATCTCGAGGCCACGAGTTAGTATCTCGAGGCCACGAGTTAGTATCTCGAGGCCACGAGTTAGTATCTCGAGGCCACGAGTTAGTATCTCGAGGCCACGAGTTAGTATCTCGAGGCCACGAGTTAGTATCTCGAGGCCACGAGTTAGTATCTCGAGGCCACGAGTTAGTATCTCGAGGCCACGAGATAGTTATAATAATTTTTTTTGACAAAGTGGGACTGGGGGGGCTCTGTAGTAAGCCCATGTTTCATCTACCAATAAATAATGCATTTTTTTTATTTAAATACAATTTTAAAGGTTTTTTTTTTGGTGTTATAGAAAGGGCCACCCTAATGTACATTTATATGTATACAGCCATAATCAAGCTTTTCTCATAGATTATGCATGTGTATAAGCACATAAACCTACACAAGCACAGGAAATGTTGCATCTGAATCAAGTAAATTTTCTCAGCACAGTTATTTGGTGCAGTGATAAATATTTATGTGTGTGTGCATGTGTGTGTGCGTGTGATCACTGCGCATATGTTTATAGCTAATGAAATATGCAGGGATTCATTTGGGGAGTGATTGCATCAGTGCTGCCTTTAGCCTGCAGCTGTGACAGTAAATGCAGTAGTTCCAGTGTTAGAAACAGATAAACATTAAGGCAATAGTTTCATGCTACACCAACCAAACATTTATTTAGCTAATTGTAGAGAGAGAGCTATTTATTTTGATTTATTTATTTGTTTTACTTAATAATATTTATTTTTGTGAATGTCTTCATTCGGTTGAATTCCTTTGTGTGAGGGATCTTGCACGTCCAGTTCATTATTATTGTAGTGTTCAGCATATTTTAATTATTATTCATGTGTCTGTCTGTCTATTCCTGTAGTTGTCCCTGAGGCTTTATGCTAATTTCCTGCACTGTACTTCACTGCAGAGGATCCTGGGATTTCCCACTGTACCAGAGCGCTAATGCATAAATCTAATTGAGCTGGACCAATGAGGTCTATAATAGCTGGAGAAAGCTATCCGTTAGCGTTCCCGTTCATCACTAAAGCAGTTTCTTAGCTGGTGCCAGACGTTCTGTCGTCTTTGCTAATAAAATACTTATAATTTGTTTATTAACATTTTGTTATTTTGTCAGAAAATAAACTTTTGAATGACTGTCAATGAAGAGTGATGCTTTTAGCTTACATAAGATGCAGCTGCTGCTGTTATTATTATTATTATTTAATAATACGATTATTGCTTTTACATTATTTAATTATTCATATTTATAAAATGATTGCTTTTTATTGATTGCTTAGATTTTTTTTTTTATTATTTGTTGTATCACCCAACCTCCATCATTTCTTTATAGCCTACCGTATATCAGCTAATAAACCCCAGTTATACATAATGAATGAGTTGCACAGGCTGTATGTTGTTGTACTGAAATTTTTAGATCAGTGTTTATTAGTTTATCTGCATAATTGATGAAGGACGTTTGTTGGAGTTTGTGTGTGTCAGACTCAGATCCACCTCTTTAAAAAAAAACAATGCATTTAGGTTTAAAAATAGGGGGAAAAATGCAGACAGGCCGTTTTTTCCCCCTCCTAGCGGTCTAATGCTGTCACATCAGCGCTGTCTGGCTCTGAATTGTCTGAGCTGGGATATTTTTGTTTTATTAATGGCTGGGAATCACTTCCAAAAAGCGCTTGGCACCGCCAGTGTTTGCTCATACACCCACAGTACTGCAGAACAATGATACCACAGATACAACAGATCAAATGAGCGCTGTTTTTGTTTCTTTGTTTGAGTCAAGACTCAAACAATAATAGGGTGCAGTGAATAATAAATTCACTCCACAACTGTCAAATGTTAGCATGGCTAGCAACATTTTCATCTTGTAAATGAATACAATAGTTTGTATAATGATCCTGAGGTGATGGTACAGTCACGCACACAATCCAGTTAAACGTTATTTAAAGAAGTGTTGCTGGCACTCATTAAAGTTGCTGTCATGAATTTGATTCGAGTTGAATCATGAGTTGCTGGCTATGAAATACATTTATATTCTGTGCCACAATTAGCAGCTAATCTCAGACTTAAATCACATTGTTTAATTTTAGTCGAAAGCAGTTTGTAATTAACAAAATCTGTTTGCTGTATCTCTGCCATGTTGATCTGAGTTACTCCTAACCAGCCCTGAAAAGTCGATGATGAAGACATTTTGTCAGTTGCTCGTTTTGTTTGTTTGCTTGTTTGTTTGTTTGTCGTTTCAGTCACACACTGTAATAGATTGGATGCTATTGCTATCCAATAGTTTAACATGTAAGCCATTAGTATTGTTAGTTTAGTCTGTTTATTAATTTGTTTTGCTCTGTTGTTTGTTGTCAGATTAATGGTTATTGGACTGTGGTCTCCACTGTGATCAGGCCTATGAGACGTGAGTATCCACACAATGCATGCTGTGTAGATGTAGATGTAGATGTAGTTCTTGTTTTGCCCTGTAGTGTCGATTGTGGCGTCTCTGTTGTTTTTTTAGGACATGCAGCACCCAAATTTTGAAACACGACACCCGCTGCAGCAGGACGAGCAGGAGACTGGTTACGACCCTCTACAGAACTACAACAGGAACCGAGACCGTAAGACACCTAATACAGATTAGATTTAAATTAGAGATCTAACAGTGTGAAGAATGGACTGCAGATTTCGCATTGTATTGCGATTAACTGATATTCTAAAAAACAAAAAGGCATTAAATCACATTGAAGCATGTTCGAAATAGTGTGCAAAAACTACAGTCTCCTAATTTAGTCCTAATTTTCCCAAAACAATGTTTCTAATAGCTCTTCTGCCAGTAGAAACTCTGGAATGTTGTTCACACAGGAGCAAAGTCAGACCCAAATGTGAATAGAGCGAAAAAGGGAACAGTTCTCTTTGCATTTACGTTTTACCTGTACTTGAAATTAAAATGATATTTAATCTTAATATACAGCGATAATAGATTTCTGTCATAATTTCTTCACTTTCATGTGGATTTCACATTTAATGTAATAATTAAAACACTGTAATCTAGTTATCTGTAATCTAGTTAAATGATCAAGGCATGTTTTGTCTAAATAAAGAGAAAAATATTTAAAGTGCCCCTATTATGCTTTTTCAGATATAATAGCTGTTTGTGAATATAAAAGGTCTGCAAAGTTTTGAAGATCAAAGTGCACTATAAACCCGCCTTCAAACACTGTAGCTGGTTCGTGTTGTGTACATGTCGAGAATATGCTGTTTTCTGCTCTGCAAAATTATATTCTCTTTATACACTTCCAAAGCATGAGGTAGTGAAGAGTCGGTGGTTAAAATTATCACAGCGATACAACAGCAGTGTAAACTTTAACAATTGCTTCTCAAATCTCAGAGAGGTCTAAATGGGATTTACAAAACGCTTATCCATTAAAGATGGGACAATACCCACTTTATTTGGACCCACTTGCTCCTTAGAATCACAACCTGTAAGTATGATTAAAATAATTATTGATGTATTTATTTTCTACTGGGTGTTCAAAATACATAGTTTTGTGTTTTATATTGTGTAGGGCTCCAGCTAACCGGCTAACTCGCATTAATATTACTGTCTTTCCTAAACAGCTTGGTCCCACGATTACCTACAATTGTGTCCATTAATGCAGAGTATTTGAGTATACTACTTTGAGTAATGATAAAGGATTGAGCAAGATTTGTTTTACAAACTTTAATGTTATATCAGTCATTCACGTTAGTGCTCAGCTAATGTATGCATCATTATTAGTACAGGTATTGATACAGTTCACACATGTGCACCGCAATGAATTAGAAATATACACATCGGTTTGTTGATTAGGTGATGTGCAATCAGTTTTTTTAACTTTGATGCATGTAAAGAGACCTCTAAAACAAAATTAGGAAGCTTTAAAATAGCATAATAGGGGCACTTTAATTAATGATTTTATTTTAAGAACCAATATAAAAATACATCGTAGTTAACAGCAATATTTAATTTATATACTCTACCGGTCAAAAGTCTAAGATTTTTTTAACGTTTTTGAAAGAAGTCTCTTATGCTCACCAAGGCTGCATTGATTTGATCAAAATACAGTATTATTATTTTTTTTTTTACTTTCTATTTTAATATATTTTAAAATGTTATTTATTTCTGTGATGGCCAAGCTGAATTTTGAGCAGCCATTACTCGTCTTCCGTGTCACATGATCCTTCAGAAATCATTCTAATATACTGATTTGCTGCTCAAGAAGCAATATAGTTTTATTTAATTAGTTTGATAATTAGGTTAATAAAAATATAGAAAGACCTTAAGATAAATACTTGTGGACTTACAAAAAGTTTGAACTGAAAATTATTTTAATTGACCTATGACATGAAATTTGTCTGGTTTTAAATGATCTCATGGATGTGGCTGTTGTGGGTCATGGTCATAGTGGCACAAGCTGCTGCGGTAAATATGGCGTCATTTAAATTACTTTGACAGTCCTTTTATATTTACCCGCTTTAAATGCATATTGCCCGTCATGCACAGTTTTCCTAAAGCAGACGCAGTGGGCCCGTCATTGCTCCTTGCAGCTATATTTATGTTTATTTTACTAAAATATTTTAAAATATAAAAAAATGCCCACAGAGACTTTTTTAAAACTAATTAAGTTCTGAATTGATTTCGCATGGACCATTTGGATTTATGCAGTGAAATTAATCAAACTTATGAAAAAAATAATAATAATTTTTTTATTTGATTTGTAATTTTATATCAATTGAGGAATAACTATAATTGTATTATTAATATGCAATATATTGGCTAGTGCTATTCTGCACTATGAAAAAGATATATATAGTTCAGAGTTCAATGGATTCCAGTTGAGTGTTTAGGTCAAATGTGATCAACTATGATGTCTTAACTATTTTCTCAGTGTAGTTTTGTTTCTTTAATTTCAGGAGGATCATTGGATAGTGCTGTTGAGTCCACGTTTCAGTCATACAGGTCTCTGTTCATTCATCTTTCCCTAATGTCACAAAGCACCAGATATCCTCGCTGGTTCACATCTGAAACTCAATGCTGTGTGGTGAAGGTGTAACTCTATCCTATAACTTTCTGTTTGACGTGCTCCTTACAGAAAGGAGTGGGATGATTTGTTCCAGAACAGTAACTACCTGGCGCGGATCAGGCAGGCTGGCATTATTGGACGATTACGGAGCAGCCGATTCCGCAGCGTATGCTGGAAGGTAATGGCTAACTGACTTAAAGGGCCCCTATTATGGATTTTTGAAAATGATCTTTCATGTAGTGTGTAACATAGCTCTAAGTGATTAAAAACATCCTGCAAAGTTTTAAATCTGAAAGTGCACCGTATATAAAGTTATTGTCTTTCAAAAGTAAGAGTCGACTCTTAGTCAATAAAATGAATCGTTTTTCAAACGAGTCAAGACGAAACATTAGCATATCGCCTGCCCACTTACTGCGCGCGCAGACACCAGGGAAAACTTGAACTCCCTCAAACACTGCAGCTGATTCCTGTGGATACTGGATAGCTTCATGTTGTGTGCTCTACAATGTGAAGGCACGCTAAAGCCAGTTTTTTTTTTTTCACTGCCCAAGGACGAGCATGTGAAGAATCTGTGGTTAAAATGAATCTTTACCACGATATCACAGCAGTATAATCCGAAACTTTTGCGGTGTTCCCTTTATTTTACTGACGACTGCTTCTCAAATCTCTGAGGTTAAATGCAGGATTCGCAAACTGCTTGCTCTTGAAAGATGGTGTTCAAAATACAGGGCTCCAGACTGCGACCCAATGGTTGCATTTTGCAAGTGTGCAACTGAATTTTACATCACAACATGTGCACAACATGTGCGACCAGTAAATTTGCCCTTTTTTTTTCTTTTTTTTTTACACGTTAAACGTGGAAAGGGCGTGTCAATGAATCCGGAATGAGTGGCAGGCCAATGAGTGTGACAAGAATAGGAAATGGCCACTGTAAGTGGCTAATGTGTGGAGGGGGAGGGTCCTAGAGATAATCCAGCGCGTGTAAATGTCATAGGTAAACGTCTGTGGGAAAGAGAGGAGACGGAGACAAATATCACAACCTGCTATATGCGTCTGAGCAATGAGCAAGCGATCTATCGACTCGTTTACCGAGCAGCGAATGCAAACAAAATGAAAGCGGAACGAAAATGCGCTACTCATTTATGCTTCACGGACCGTTTATTAGTTCGGACCAATAATAGACAGCACAGCGCCCCGAACTTGCCAGTTGCGGGCCGATCTCGATCACGCGACACTGTTACTTGGAGATCCAGGCTCTGGAGATCCAGTGAAGAAATCCATTGAATTCGCCTCAGAATTAATAACATCATCGCTACGAGATCCAGTGAGAAACATTCCGATTCGGCGCAGAATAAACCATCTCTGTTATAAACCATAGATATCAGATCAAACAGCGCTGACGTGGAAACCAGGAGAAACACTTAGAAGGCTTTCAGTGCACAATTCAGCAACATTCACCATGGATTTAGGCTAATATAGTAACTCTAACCATAAATGTGGTATTGTGACAGAAATAGTCAAACGCTTACAAGTACTAGGCTACACATCTTTTTCCAGCACTTCAAAACTATAATATCATATATAAATGTTATTTTTAATGTGATGACCAACACATTTTTTGTTCATCCTTCAAAGATTGTCCTAAAACGAAAAATGTTAAGATGTAGGAAAACTCTTATTTAAACACTTATTTAAAAAAAACAAAAAAAAAACATTGTAAACAGTAGGATGTTTATTGGCTATTTTCACTCTTTAATATACATTTTTTCACTCCTTTTGCTTTTTAATTAATATTAAGACATTATGAATGATAATAACTAAAGTTAATTTCATGTACACCCTAAATTAAAGGCAGGGTAGGTAAGTTTGACAAACTAGCAGAAAGCTGCTGGATTTTGAAAGTATCCAACAGAGAAACTCCCACCCCCTCCCTTCTGGGCTCCTTACAAAGCCACGCCCCCAAAACACATGAACGCGTGATGCCGACCGCTCAGCTGGAGGACGCGTTTACCAGCGCCGAGCGGAGAGGAGCGCAGTGCATGGAGTGACATCACCTTTTTTTGCTTTGTTTGCCTGCGCTGACTGTATATGCAGGTACAGGTGGTACTGGGAATTTTGACTAGTCTTTCTCTGCCATAAATGCAGGGCCGGAGTGGGAGTCATTTTCAGCCCTGGAGTTTCATGCCTTAGACCGGCCCACTTTAGTTCCCGACTGACTATATTACAATAATGTAATTAAAACCTCAGTATATAAGCAATAGTGCACTGTTCTGTACAGCCTTGTAATTCATTGTATTTTTAAAAAAATATAATTTTCTATTCAGTGCAATAGCCGTACACACAGGGTTTTATAAAAACAGAGGTCCCAAAAGTGATCTTGCTAGGGGGTTCGGGGGCATATTATTTTTCCACTGTCATTGGCAAAGAACATATGTATATCTGTGTTAAATAGGAATCCATTGTAATAAAGTTATTCTCATTCTGGGCACAGTATGCAATAGGCTATTGCTCTTCCTGCTCTCCTCTCTTATCTCCATCTCCTTCTCTCGTTCTTCTTCTCTGTCTCTTTATCTTTACCTGTAAATCTCCCCTTCCCGAAGCTGAGCTTTGATTGATAGTCTTTGCAAACTGATTATTTATGTCGGTCGTTTAAAACTTCTTTCGTAAAACAGCTGTGTAGTTTAGCCACTTGCATCTTATCTCGTGAAGCGTCGCGTTGGGATTCGCGCTTCTGTGAACATAAATCCTGCTTTGATCGGTCATCTCAAACATTTTGCCATTGCCGACGAGCGGTGTTTGAGTGCTGATGATGAGGTCGGTTATCGTTGCGAAATGGCGCTACTATTATCAATGTTTCGTATCTCTTATTTTTTGTTCGCACATCTCTAACAACTGACTTTTTTTTTTTTTGTGGGGCTGAGAGAAAATAATAATAAAAAAATAGTGGGGCTGCGCTGTGACTGGAGCCTATAGGGAAAGCATTCAACCCAGTACCATGACAACACCGGCCCTCCTGGCCAATAAAACAGACTGGCCCACTGGGAATTTTCCCGGTGCTCCCGATTAGCCAATCCGGGCCTGCATAAATCTTCCTAGCTTCCGGCTGGTACGTGCCTCTCCTCTTTCGAAATGAGCGAGTCAACCGGGTGCGCGCATGTGGGGAGCTCCTGTACCAGCAGGGGTGGTAGCCATGGTAGCGAGGGAGAGTGACAGACCCCAGCCAATCATTGCATTCGTTCCTCATTGCAATGGAAAGAGTAGCTGTGTTTATTGCAGCCCTGAGAGGACTACACTCTATTTTTATTCTCTCCTTTTCAGAGTACTTACATTTTAGATATGTATTGGTATATAAAGACAGTTTAAACAAATTTGGGGAAAAGTGTTTTAGAAACAAACTGCCTACCCTGCCCTAAATTAAGCTTAGTGCTGTATTGTCACCCCCAGTGCTACCAGATCTTTTTTGTAGAACTCAGTGGCTCCGGTGATGCTACCCTCAAATTTTAGTCTGGAGCCCTGTGAACTTAAAATAAAACTGCACATTGTAATATCTGTACGTTAAGTTTATTTATTATTAAAGAATTTGTCAGTATTACAGTTATTTTGGGGGAAATTTGAATAATTGCATTGCAAGCTGATTTAAGGTGTGCCCTTATTTTCTGCTTGCGCTCCTAAAATTTTCAGTCAGGGGCTACAGCACTCCTAGTAAAAAATGTTAGTCTGGAGCCCTGAAATACTTTGTTTTGAGTTTTATATTGTGTAGGTCTCCTGGTAACTGGCTAACTCATGTTATCACTGTCTTACTGAAATACTTCTGCTAAGCAGCTGTGGGCCACTATTACCTAAAACTGTGTCTATTAATGCAGATTATCTGTCGTTCTCACTACTTTGAGGAAAGATTAAGCATGGAGCAAGATTTGTTTTACCAATGTTATGTTATATCAGTCATTCACGCTAGAGCTCGGCTAATGTGTACATTGCATACATGCACTGTTATTGATACAGTTTCCACGTGTTCACCGCAATATATTAGAAAAATACTCTGTAAATAAATAAGTACAAGTAAAATAATCGGTTTGCTGATGGACATGCACTTGTTAATGCTGATGGTGAGGAATTACAGTTGCAACATCTCATAATGTACCTCAAACTGAGTAGTGCATCACTGAGAAACGTCCTGCTCGAGTTGTCCTTGCGATGGAGGTTCGGGTTTAATGAATAGTTCTTCCAATGTTTCATCTTCGGACTCGCGCTCGCATTGATATGGTACAATCGACGTCATTATTCGTTAGTCTGTTTAGTTTATGGTGTAGGAAGCCTCAGGACAAGCAGAGCTGATGTTGTTATGGCAATGAGCGTTTCTGTATGCGGTAAACCAATCACAACAGACTGAGCTGTCTGGCCAATCAGAGCAGAGTAGCTTGCGGAAAGGAGGGATTTAGAGGGATTGATTCATCTGACGAGTCGTTTGAGAATCATTGAAAATGTGGTGATGTGCAAATATATATTATGAGAAAATGAAACAGTTTTTTTACCTTTGATGCATGTAAACCTATTGTAGGAGACTCCAAAACAACTTTAGGAATCTTTAAAATAGCTTAATAGTGACACTTTAATGCATGAAAATGGTCTTTTTGTTATTACTGGGGTTAAAAGATGAAGTGTGCAATTTCTGTGCCAAATGGAGTAGATGACGAGCTTTGGTTTTGTTCTTTCCAGCTTTATCTGGATGTCCTGCCAGAAGATAAGACTCAATGGATCAGTCGAACCAAGGAGGTCAGAGCACAGTACGAGAAAATCAAAGAAACGGTATGTGTGTGTGCACATATGTATGTGGTAGTGATTTATGTGTCGTCAGTAGGTTTTGAGACTAGATCATGATTGTTTGTCTTGAACTGCAGCACATTACAAACCCTCGCAAAGCTGCAGGCCAGCAGGACCTGGTGGTGAACAACCCACTCTCACAGGATGAGGGGGTGAGAGAATCCAATTCAGTAAAACCATAAGAATGGGATGGATCTGTCCATTATGGTTTGATTAACATCTTCAACTTTTTCTGTCTCTTTGTGTCTTTCTCTTTCAGAGTCTCTGGAACAAGTTTTTTCAGGATAAGGAGCTCAGGGGTATGATCAAACAAGATGTTTTACGAACGTAAGTTTGTGAACAATACACATACACTACCATTAAGAGGTTTAGAAAAAAATCTTTTTAAAAGAAGCCTCTTATGATGAGTGAGCACCAAGCCTGCATTTATTTATTTTTCTTACTGACCCTAATGGTTGTGTGAAAGGTGAATATTTAAACGCGTATATATTTTTATTTGCAATTTTTACTCCATAAACATACTTAAAATTATATTAAGTATGCATTCATATTCAAGCATTCAAAAATAAGTCTTTGAAAAAGGTTTTTAAGATAATTCAGTCAGAAATTCAGTCAAGTGTTAATTAATTGTCGTCGAAGATAGATATGTAACTGGATTGGGTGTTGAGGGAGGAATTATGAAATATTCTGGTAACATTAATATGTTGCATAGGTATCAACATATAACATAAATGTGCATTCAAATAATTGAAATAGAAATTCACAGATACCAAACATGGTATAGATGAGGTTACATTAATTATTGGTTCTATCATAAAGCATGCATAAAACAGTATACGACACAAAAGACAATGAACAAGACAGTAATAATTATACACATGTCCTGGAGATATGCATTTTCATTCATAAAAGGTTTGCCTATGAATTAATGGAAATAATAACTTGTTATGGGCCTTATGTGTCTTTCCTATGGGGAAATGGAGAGAGAGTTGAGACTCCACATTCCTTTTGGTCGAACACCTTTGCTGCTATGTTAACCAGAGGCCTGTTCTGCCTTTTTGGGGAGTTAGTTGCTCTCTGGGGGTTGTCCACAGAACTCTAACACATGGTTTGCTTGTTGGGAGAGGGAGTTTTCTGGATTATTCATGAACTATAATGAATAATTGTGTGTCTGACTGGTCTAGACACTACAGATACAATACAATACAAAACATTAACAATATTTGCTACTCCTTGATTGTCTGCAGGTTTCCAGAGATGCTGTACTTCCAGGAAGAGGATGTCAGGACGAAGCTGACTGATATTCTCTTCTGCTACGCACGAGAGAATGAGCAGCTACTGTATAAGCAGGTTTATACACACTTAATGATTGTGACAAATACTGCCACACCACAACATAACCTGTCAAACTAGCTCAGTCGATCTTGTGGTGTAATTTTGCCAAAATAAGCATTTACCTCTACATTATCCTCTTGTTTCTCTCATCTTCATCCCTCCTTCTCTGTCTCTCTACAGGGCATGCATGAGTTACTTGCCCCAATAGTGTTTGTTCTCCACTGTGATCACCAGGCGTTTCAGCATGCCAATGAGACGGCCAATCCCAGGTCTGACCTATTACCACACAGGCGAGACTGTCATACAGATTTCTGAAGACTTGCTCAATTTGTTACGTGTATTGTTTCAAATTTTGAATCATTATTAATTTAATTTTCAGTATTTCTTAGTATATTTATTTAAACCATATTGTACCTCAATTGCAGTGAAGAGATGAAAGTCCTTCTTGATCCTAAATTCCATGAGCATGATGCCTAGTGAGTAAATGTCACATAATCACACTGGATGATCTTAAACAAAATGATGCCTCGATTAACTGCTCAATCTATCTTTTTGTTCTTCATCAAATATCCCATAGTGTCATGTTTTCTCTGCTCATGGAGACAGCAGAACCCTGGTTCAGCAGTTTTGAGCGGGAGGTCAGAAAGGTACAATGGGTGACTTTACGTAAAATTAATTGCTTTGATATTTTGTCAGCTTCCAACTTCAATCTTGTTAACATGACTTAAACGGTGTTTAAACATTTCAGGGCAAAGAAGAGATGTTAACCAGCATCCCCTTTGCGAGACCACAGGACTCTGGCCCTTCTGTTGCTATTGTGACCAAAGTCAACCGCATTCAGGACCAGCTAGTAAAAAAACACGACATTGAACTGTATATGCACCTCAACAGACTAGAGATAGCACCCCAGATTTATGGCATGTGAGTATGAATAAACTCTATTATTATTGTATTAGGGGCCAAGCACCAAAGTTGCTGTAGCTGCTATTGTATCTGTTAGTATTCTTATTATTATTACTCCTCCCTATTTGGAGTATACAGCAGCCCTATGAACCTTAAGTAGGAAAATTATGAAATTTGCACACTTGTACCACTAGTGGTGGTCCTGAATAGTAATCTGACCAACTTGGGAACCTTTTAGAACCAACTCCATTCCGCCACCACCACCAGTTCAAATATTCACTTTTCAACTTTTGAACATTTAGAAAGAAAATCTTAGAAAGAACATGTTTTATACTCTCGATTACTCTCCTCATGCTGATCACATTCAATTAAGACTCCGCCCATTACAGTAGTCGCCATTTTGAAATGTACTGTAGTTTAGACCGAGCCACACAGGCTATATTTCGGCAAAACTTTGATCTATCGAAACTAAATTCGGCACCATGATCTGAGGGTACATGCGAAAGTTCAGAACAGCGCCACCTACAGGTCATGAGATTCAAAAATTGCTATTTTTGCTAATAACTTTTGAAATGTTTGTCAGAAATGTCTCTCTGGCATTTTGAAATTTGTCATAAACTATAATATTTTTAAAATGCTTTGACATATCAGCAAAGCATATAAGCAGATTGAAAGACATCATCACCAGAATGTCTGTAAGGTACCTGTACATTTTGAACACAGTGCCTCCTAGTGTTCAGAAGGTGTAAGGCTTTTCACAAAAACGTTTAAAGGAGTCATAATGTAGTATTAACTTTGATACCCACGCTCTATTATAGTCATTTCATGCCCTTCTAAAAAAGAAAAATTGGAAAAAAATAAACAGAGAGCTCGTTTGACCCTTATTTCTGAATGCATTATTGTCTCGCGAGATCTGATGCGAGGTTTTGGCTGTCGTGGACGGTCATTTTAATAATGCAAATGAGGGGCGCGTTGATTGGTGGCAGGAAGGAGGGGGCTTGACACCGCAGGTAACTTCAGCATATCATTCCAAAAAGAGATCATGGCACAAGTTGTTAATGAACCCGACCTGGCCGCGACCTACGGGATTCAACCGTATATGTTTGAGCCAGACTCTGAACCAGAGCTGGAAACGGAAGAGGAACAACAGTCAATTGAAGGACGTCTACATCAACATGTCTCTGAATGGTAAAGACAATTTTTTTGACTGAGACATACATTAACATCAGTAACGAGCTAAAACGTTTTTTGCTATTTTCTCCCACATAAGTTTACCTTTAATTTAATGTAGATTACATTAACGGAGATGTACTCTACTTTATTTTCAGCTTACAGTGGTTATAGAGATTAACGTTTGCTATAATGTGTTGTTTTTGCCTTTTTTGACGTTGTGGTTTTTTAGATATTTAATAATTTTCATCTGCAGACATGTAACGTTATGTTTTTCTTTGTTTATTAATTCTTGACTGTTTTTTTAATGTATCTATCCTTATCTATTATATAAAAAAATCAATACAATGATATGTTGTCATTGTTATATTGTATACGATTATATTAAATAATAGCTGTATCATTTTCTAGTCTGTTTAAAGTGGAAAGATGTGGCTAGCATTCGTAGAGTCCATTCCCCGTGTTTACATCACATACATTAACCGCATTAGTAGTTAGCTGCTATTTACACAAAATATAGTAATAAAAACACAGTCTTACCGTTTCAAATTCAGGCAAGTCCCTGATTGTTGGAATGGCACCTTTTTCCAAACGTAGCTTCGATGCCAACTTCGCCTGATATTGCCCCAAATTTGTAAAAGATTATTTTGTGAAATGTTTAGCGCAGACACCTAACGTTGTGCAAGTTGAGATGGTTGTTGGAACAGCGTCATTGAAAATAAATTTCATCCACTTGTCCCTTGTAGTTTGGTCAGTTTTGGGTAAAGAAAAAACATTAGAATGTGGATTATGACAGTCAACCACAGAGCAACTCATGTGTGCACTACGTTTCTGCATCTTTCTTGACTGAATATGATGGGGAGAGGGGCAGGGCGGGCCTCCTCTGCGGTGTCCATATATGGTATATCCGGCCCCGTCTTGACGTCAAGTCGGGGGAGAAATTGAAATCTCGTATTTGAGTGCGCGTGCACGTTGGCTAGTTTAAGAACCCTGGGGTAAACAAACGCTTCACTTTTGAATATCGGCATCCCGGCCAATGTATAATCGTTAGTCAATCATAACATACATTGATTCTCATGGAAAAGTGAAAATTGCACATTATGACTCCTTTAAAACTTTTGAAAACTTAATTTTCTCAGTACTGTTACTTTCCTTCGTTTATGCCGGTTTCTCATTTGTCATTTTCCAACATTATGCTCGTTCGACCACTATTTTTAGGTATATGAAAAAAACGTTGTTCTTTTTTCGCTACCCCTCCTATAATCAGCTCAGTCCAATCTTTGGTCCGAGCCACACAAAAATGAATGAACAGATTTTTGATATTCACTACTGTTTCTGAGAAACGCCTTTCCGAAGTGGACAATGCCTGTTTGTTGACCTATGCTATGTTAGCTTAGCATGCTAATTGGTTAATACGTAAATTAGAGGCCATTCATTCTAATGTGGCTCTTTTGCTATCAGATTAAACATAAGATACGTTATTGGCTAAGTTATCTTGGTATGCTAAACGGTTAGCATGCTAACTAAAGGTTTTGTGTGTTCCACCTCATATTGAAGTCTCTTCAGCAGTAAATCAATTGTGTGCCATGTACATGTACATTTCTGGCCATTTCTAGAAACCTTTTATCTAAATTAAACTTTTATAGGGGGGTTTAAAGACTCTCATAACATTAGAGACTCTTTTGGACCATCAATTGTATTTCTGCCTTTCACTCAAGTCTATTTGAGTTTACACAACCTAAGCCAACTGATTGGCGCACTGTGTAGAGCAATGTGCTTTATGTTGGAAAATCATTTAATTAAATCCCGTGTGGTGCAAACTTATACAATTTAAATTTTGCTATGTCCATAATGTTGCTTAATAAAATCCTGTGCTCAAAATACATGGTGATAAGACAATGAGCACCTGACCCGAAAGTTGTGGGTTTGATTCCCATGTGGTGTGTCATCATAGCAGATCATGTTGTGGTATTTCGACTCAGCATTGCAATGATCTTTCAACCTCTTGTTGTTATTATTTGGGGCAAAGCACCAAAGGTGCTTTAGCTTCTTGCATCTGTTGGTTTTCTTTTTCTTTTTTAGCTACTTTTTGAACTCATGGAACCCATGGAATTGCTTGACCCTGTTATTGTTGCTAGAAGCTATATATATTTTTATATATACACACACACATACACACACAGTATATATATATATATATATCAGTATCAGTCTTGGTCAAAAGTTTACATACACCTTGCAGAATCTGCAAAATGTTCATTATTTTAACAAAATAAGAGGGAATAGAATACAAAATGCATGTTATTTTTTATTTAGAACTGTCCTGAATAAGATATTTTACATTAAAGATGTTTACATATTGTCCACAAGACAATAGCTAAAAAAATAGCTGAATTTATAAAAATGACCCCTTTCAAAAGTTTACATACACATACACTGTAAAAATGTGCATATTTTAACCCTTTCCAGCAGTGACTATAATTTTGAAATCCATATTTTCACACTGAGGACAACTGAGGGACTTAGTTGCAGCTATTCCAAAAGGTTCAAAGAATCAAGTGTAGGTCATTTTTATAAATTCAGCTATTTTTTTGTTTCGTTGACTATATGTAAACATCTTTATGTAAAATGTAAAATATCTTATTCAGGACAGCACTAAATAAAAAATAACATGCATTGTGTAGTAACCCTCTCTTATTTTGTAAAAATAATTCACATTTAGCAAATTCTGCAAGGTGCATGTAAAAAAAATGCTATGTATGTGTATATATAATTTTTTTTATTATTAATTAAATTATTAAAGTTTTTTTTATTTTTATATTACTCATTTATTTTTAATCATTATTTCTTGTAATTTCTCCATGGTGCATATAAACGATGTAGAATTAAAGATATGTTAAAGTGTTGTTTTTATCAAAATTAGTCAACTTTTCCATCAGCTATAAATTCTCTGTTTCTGTGTGTTTGCGGGCAGTCGCTGGGTTCGACTGCTGTTTGGTCGGGAGTTTCCCCTGCAGGATCTGTTGGTGGTCTGGGATGCTCTCTTTGCAGACAGCATCACTTTGGACTTGGTGGATTACGTGTTTGTTGCTATGCTTCTATACATCAGAGATGCATGTAAGTTAAATTCTCTCTCATCTGTGATTTGTTCATAACACAAACCAATGGAACACAAGATATAGACTTACTAAGGCGTAAATAAACTTTGGGTGTTCACCTTGGAGCTCTATGGATATCAAGCAATACATAACTCACAAAAAGAGTCATCAGTTTGTCTAGTTGCGCATCACTGCCACCTACATAACCAATCCAAACACAGGAGCCAATGACATGCAGATGAGTTGGCTTATGCCTGTTGGCATTGAACATGTACCTTTACAAAAAGCTCTAGAAGAACTTTATCAGTTTATTTGAAACTCCAGTAACCGTATCGTTCCTGTGTTCATGTCGTAGTGATCGCAAGTAACTTTCAGACGTGTCTCGGCCTCCTGATGCACTATCCTCCTATTGGAGACATCCACTCACTGCTCCTAAAAGCACTATTCCTCAGAGACCCTAAGGTACTGTCAGGCACACCCAGTCTTTCATATTCACTTTTAAACATCATAAATAAATAAATATTTTGAAATATGTAATTATTAGATTACAAATACATTTGTATGTGTGATATTAATTTATTAAATGATATAATATTTATGCATAATATTATTTATTTGTAATATAATATAATTAGAATATAATAAAAGTAATATAATTAGTCATATTATTATAATTTATTCTGGAACTTATTTTATATAAGTCTAGGGAATTTATCCCAGTGTCCCAAACACAGATTTAAGCTAGCTTGACATTCAAAAGCAGAGACACTCTATACTGCTGAAAGTACAATTATGTTATTTTGGTAACACTTTACAATAACGTCTCATTTGTTAATGTATTAACTAACATGAGCTAACCATGAGCAATACATTTGTTACTGTATTTGTTAATCTTTGCTAACGTTGGTTTATAAAAAATATAGTTCTTCATTGTTTGTTCATGTTACTTCACAGTGCATTAACTAATGTTAACAAATACAAATTTTGATCCTAATAATGTATTAGTAAATGTTGAAATTAACATTAACAAAGATTAATAAATGCTGTAGAAGTGCAGTTTATTATTAGTTAATGTTAACTAATGAATCATTATTGTAAAGTGTTACCCTTGTTTTTGTCATATGTCTTTTTATATAATTTTAGAATAATCCACGACCAGTAAACTACCAGTTCCAGCAAAACCTTGACTACTACAAAACCCGTGGAGCCGACTTGGTCAACAAGACTCGGTATCTTGTGTTTTGTGTGCTATTATATACTATATATTATATAAAAATATCAAATTATATTTATTTACAATTTAGAAAATATTTTCTTTCTTTTTCTACAGGGCCAGCACTAAAGCAGCACCTCTCAACATTAATAAAGTATCCAGTTCTCTTCTTAATTTTGGCCGGAAGCTCATTGCGCCGATGGGAAGCGGCTCCAGCGGTATCTCGCCAATTAACAGCGAGGTGATATCAGCTCCTCCCCTTCAAACTCCAGTGCCACAACCATTTGCCGAGCCTCCATCATGCACCGCTCCGGCAAATACGCAGATCAAATCACAGCCGTACACACAAACGCAGCATCAGCACCGACTGCTGAAGTCTGAAAGTATGCCAGTGCACCTCAGCAAAGGTGAGCACTCGTATACACAACCTTTCAACCCTGTATGCCTACAGATTGGCTGCATCCGAAATCACATACTTGCCTATTAAAAATTAAAAACTAAAAGAAGTATGTCCGAATTCACAGTACTCATAAAAGAGTAGACAAAAAGTATGACCTACTTCTTCTGGCATGATTCTGCAGTGAAGTGATGTAACTGAAGCTGGTAGGTCACATGATAATGGCAACATGGCAAATGTAGTACATCCCGATTACATTCATACTACATACATTCATATTATATAGAACGTACTTTTTTAGCGGTCATGAAGTAATTACTTATTCAAAAGAATGACCTACTCAAGAGAGTATGCAATTTCGGATGCAGCCTTTGTGTTGATTTTACCCATATACCTCCAGAATTTATTAATACTTCAGTGTGCATGGATTATTATGTGAATGTGTACATGCATGTGCTTAAACATAGTTACATGTGACAGAATAGGTGTGTGCTGTAGCCTGTAGCCTTACTCTGCTGTCTGTTAGACATAGGTCCTTGTGGAGCCTCTCAGATATCTCTCCCTTCCCAGATTCAATCTGATACCCCAGGTAACTGCTGCCATGACGATAACAACAGCACCAGAGAGTGCATGCATGCTTTATAAATGCTTCTTATTTGATTCTGTTTTTGTATGTTTCTTTGTGTGCTTTTACTGTGACGTGTCCGCTCTGTAATGCATGCATGTGTGTCTGTGTTAAAATAAACTTGGTGTAATCATGTATTTTGTAATGAGTCATGCTGCTTTTTGCCACCAGGCTTTTTCAGTTTAAAAAAAAGTTCACCCCAAAATAAAAATAATGTATTTGTATTAATTAATCCAATTAAAAATAAATGTAATTTATACTACCATTCAAATGTTTGGGGTCGATAATAATTTTGTTTTGAATGGTTTTGAAAGAATTCTCTTTTGCTCACCAAGGCTGCATTTATTTGATCATTAATACAGTACATTTGCAATATTATTACAATTTTAAAATAACTATTTTCTATTTGAATATTTTTTTAAATGTTAAATATATTCCTGTGATGGCAAAGCTGAATTTTCAGCAGCATTACTCCAGTCTTCAGTGTCACATGATCCTTCAGAAATCATTCTAATATGCTGATTTGATGCTCAAGAACCATTTTTTAGTATTATCAATGTTAAAAACATTTGTGCTGCAAAATATTTTTGTGGAAACCATGATACATTTTTATTTAGGATTCATCGATTTAATAGAAAATTCAAAAGAACTCTTTTGTAACTTTATAAATGATTTTACTGTAACCTTTGATCAATTTAATCCATCCTTGCTGAATTTAAAATTTCTTTAAAAAACCGGGGGAAAAAACGTCCTGAGCCCAAACTATTCGATATTGATTGGTAATGAACTTTTCATATCCGTGTTTTGTTAGTTATCTTCATAGTCCAAAGAAAATCCTCCTGTTTTTAAGATCATGTTTTGTTTTACTTCTGCTTTACCTGTGATTTACTGAATGCTTGTGATTGTGTCTCAGACTCTTCATGTTATTTATCTATCTTATGATTTTTTAAATTGTTCTGTTATCTTTGATCTTTGGTTGTCTGTTCTCATAGGCTGCCTGAGATTAACTTTTTTTGATGTCTACCTTGCAGGCCACACCCCCAGGACCATTAGTTCCTCCCCCAGCTCTGAGAGTTTGTCTGGTGGGCGGGACCATGCAATGTCTTCCCCTCCTCTCCCTGTGTCCACAGGGCAAGACTCCAGCACATCATCTCCGCCTTCCTCTGCTACGAAGAAAGACTCTTTCTTTAATATCAGTCGCTCACGGTCCCACAGTAAAACTATAAACAAGAAGGATGCGGTAAGCAGCAAATTTAGTTTTTGCTTTACCAACTTTTCCATTTGCATTCCCAGGCTTTCATTTTGTGTCCATTCTTTCTTCATATAGCATGTCAATTACTTGGAGATTATGTTGCTCCTGTTAATGTTGTATTTTATAGATGCTTTATGTATGCTAATTTATGCGTATGTATCCATACACGCAGGAGGAGCTTGAGGCCCAGGTGTCATTTTTACAGGGTCAGATTAATGACCTTGAGGCCATGAGTAAATATTGTGCCAAGATGATGAACATGCACATAGGTGAGTCACTGAGCCAGTCAGTCATCTCTGCACTCCCAAACACACTGGTGATGGAATCGTAATGATTGTGCTTTGATTAATGGACAGGAAAAATTCAAGATGTGATACTGCAGGAGCATCTGGAGAAGGAAGATGAGGTTCTGGTGTCACTTGCTGGACTAAAACAGGTATGACTCAGGTCTCCACTTTGCTAAAAACAACAACAAAAAAACTGTAATAATAAGATAAACACTAAATATTGAATATATACTGTATATAACAATACATTTTGTGTGTGTGAAATTAAAACTTAAAAATATTCACCATTTTCAATCAGTGGTGTTCTCACTTAAAATCATTTTGGTAATACTTACAATATGGTCCTATTCAAATGTTGAAATTAACAATTACAAAGATCAATAAAAATAAAAATACTTTTAAAGCATTTTAGTTTAACTAAGGTAGTTAAAGTCCCCCTGTGGTGAAAATCAAGTTTTTAATGTTGTTTATATGTCTATGTGGTGTTTTTAATATGCTTTAAGACAAACCATGTGCAAATTTATGTCAACAGCATTGCTGAGTATTTTATAATTAAAACTGCAGTGAAAAAAGACAAACACACGGTTTGAAATCGCTGGTGTTTCTTGCGTCACAAACTACCTTGTGACCAATCACGTCACGAGAGGGGCGGGCTTTAGCATATCATCATTACTTTGCTGCAAAGCGGGAGAGTCTCAAGAGAAGCTAGGATATGTGTCCGACGTTGTAGAGAGTGATGCATAAAACACATTGCCAATCTGATACATCGACTTGTAGACGAGCCTGTATAATTCACTCTTCCACTTCGTCTGAATCAGTTTCTGGTTCAAACATATATGGCTGAATTAAACCAGTATTTCCACTTGCCATTGTGCAGCGTTTACTACAGTAAAGTTGTCCGAGTGAATCTCTGAGCTGGTGTGAGTGAGTGTAGGCGGGACTAATTTGCATATTCATGGCTCCGCATATACTAACTTACTCAAGGGTGTAGAGTTAAATTCAAGCTATTTTAAGGCATGAATCACTTTTTTTTTTTTTTACAAGGAAAAAAACATAAATATGTCATTTTGGTGATCAAAGATGAGTTTTAAGGGATACAATTATTGAATTATCTAAATGCAATTATAACACACTCTGCATTATTATACAAATATAATTCGAGGTCTCTCTTAACCATTTTGTCCCCAGATTAAGGACATCCTGAAGGGGGCTCTCAGATTCAACCAGAGTCAGCTGGAGGCGGAGGAGAATGAGGAGATCTCCATAGCAGACGATCACTACTGCTCTAGCCAATATAGTAAACTAAAGGACCAGAGTGATCCAGACGCAGCTGGTTCTACAGACGGACAACAAGCGGTTCTAGAGCGCTACGACCACCAGGAAGGAGACATGGTAGCAGAGAAAGAAGAGGAAGAGGTAGCCGAGAAAGAAGAGGAGGAGGAGGAGGAGGAGGAAGAGGTAGCCGAGAAAGAAGAGGAGGAGGAAGAGAAGGACGAGGAGAAGGTCAAGGTCTTGACCACTGAGAATGTCCCCACAATAGCAGAGCCACAGGTTAGAGATGATTATAAAAGTTTTCATGTGAGCAGGTACATGCACATTCTATAAATTAATTTAAAGGTTATACTTTAGTAGACCAAGATTAGGACCATGTAAGATTCATTTTGTGACAAATAAACACATGTATTACTGTAAAAATAAAAAAGTATTTTTTCCCCCATTAATATCAAATAAATTAAAGGCAGTACAACTAATTATTTATAAACACTATTACAATCTTTATACAGTATTAATTTTATTTGCATGCATTTCATTTGTGTTACATAATGAGCATGGGGAGGGTGGCGGATTCATGGCAGAATAATAATGATTAGGCTAATAAAATGGCTTTTTGAAATGGGATTTTGTAAGGGATTAGCTTTATGGGCTGTCAATCAATAAAAATGTTTTATTTAAAGCAGTGTTATTTTAGTATTATTAATATACTACTATAATATTAATATACTACTATAATATTTATATATTTATTTTGAATTGGCTTGTATTTTTCTATTTGAGTTATTTTTCATTATCTTTATAATTTTTATATTTCTATTTAGCTTTATTTTTCTATTTTTATTTCAGTTTTAGTAATTATAATACTTAAGCTTTTTTATTTTTGGTAGTTGACAAGGCAACATTTTATAATTTTCATTTCAGTTTTTCATCTAATATTTGATTTTACAGGTGAAACTCGAAAAATTTGAATATCGTGCAAAAGTTCATTTATTTCAGTAATTCAACTTAAAAGGTGAAACTAATATATTATATAGACTCATTACATACAAAGTGAGATATTTCAAGCCTTTATTTGTTATAATTTTGATGATTATGGCTTACAGATATGAAAACCCCAAATTCAAAATTAGAATATTGTGAAAAGGTTTTCATATCTGTAAGCCATAATCATCAAAATTATAACAAATAGAGGCTTGAAATAACTCACTTTGTATGTAATGAGTCTAATATATTAGTTTCACCTTTTAAGTTGAATTACTGAAATTAACTTTTGCACGATATTCTAATTTTTCGAGTTTCACCTGTAATTTCAGCTTTATTTAAATAGTTTTAGTTTATTGTAATTGGTATATTTTTTAGCACCAATCTAAAGTAACAACATACTGACTACATGCTGATTAATTGATTGCATATAAATATATGCTGAGAAAAACCTCCATATGTTAACGCGATTCACCCAAACACCAATTTCATACACCCTTTTATTTGTCCTAGGCCTCTGAAGGGAGAAACTGGGATGACTACATCTTGGTCTCACAGGATGGCGAGCCATCAGAGAGTGAGGAGCAAAGCATAACCACCACGGCTCCACTCTTTAAGCATGTACGAGGCCTAAACAAGGCGGATTTTCAAGACCCTCTGATGGGGACCACGTCTGGGTCTTCCAGTCCAGATGACGGCAGCACTCACAGCAAGGACTCTGACTTCACTATTGTTAATCCTACTGACCTTTGAACCTTGATTTACCCTAAATATGACTGGACCCATCATTAACACTTAAGAAACTCTGCTGGATGTTTGCACATATGAACTCAGGCTGATTGCCTCGTGTGCCCCCATGCCCTGTAGCTCAATCCCTAAACCACACATTATGTTTCTTAAATCCTGGACCTCTGGCTGTGTATTTAAAACCATCCTAATTCAAAATAACTCTTTTCTTTGTGCTCCAAATGTGAGGCCCTGACCATAGATCCTTTGCTCTGTTACATAAATGTGGTATCTAAAGCCATAAAAAGCAGCCTCGACTTTAATGAGATTTTTCATTCTGTAATTTTCTTTGAAAATGTCCTAAAGGTTTTGGACCGCATCTTGACGTTTATGCAGAGAAAACCTATATTAGTTTTCTTCTAAATCAATATCCTGTGAAATGCATTTAACAGACACTCTCTGCCTCAGATAAAAGCTATATTCTGCTTCAGTTTTCCCTCTATCTCTGTCTTTGTCTCTTTTTGGGGGGAACTGGCTTTTGTGATAAGGACAGGACATTGACAGATGCTCAATCTAGTAGTAGAGAGCGGCTTTTTTATGAAATGGACTGAGTGTCTCTCATTCACTCTCATCTTTATTGATTTTCCATGAACCAGTGCCTGAGCAGTTGTCCATTTTCCATTTTTTGTCTGTTTTTTTTTTAAGATCGAGATTTTAGCCCATAGACCACGACATTTGTTAAATTATGGATTTTTCTTTCTTTCATATTTGTCATAATTTTTAAGCCAATGATATGTGAAGCTTTTATGTTCTAGTATTTCTCTGATGTCATTAGTCTTGTTTTGTCTTGGTTCCCGTGGTAACTGTGTATTGTTTTGCACATGACACGAAGGATGTTTCTAATACTGATATCCTATTAACTCTGGATGAATAAAAAGCATTACTCTCGTCTCGTCTAATCCAAAGATCTGTGCACCCTACAGTTTCCTTGTACCCTGATGTTATTTTTAGCCATTTGTTTCCCTTTTCTGTGGAGGTGATTGCCTTTAAACTACCTCCACACAGTCAACACCGGACAGTAGTTTAGCCTAGTAGGTTTTGGCCTGGTTTCACTGACAGGGCTTAGATTAAGCCGAGATTTAGTACAATTGGGGCATATAAGTGCCTTCGAAAAAAAAAACATTACTGATGTGCATCTTAAGACAAAATGTCAGTAAAAGTTGCTTTCAGTTGAAACAGCTCAAACATGCATTTTAGTCCAGGACTAGGTTTAGGCTTTGTCTGTAAAGAGGCATATAACCTCAAATTCAGTTCAGACAGGCAGCTCATAATTTTTAGACGCGACATCTAGCGGTTAGCTATCGCTATAACAACATTTCCTCTTCAATAATAACTAGCATTGCACCAAATTGTCCGTCAAATTCAGACAATATTATAACATTTTCTCATTTTAAAAAGGCCTATTTATTTGCAATTGAAATAAACAAAGTTTTGATAGTCTTTAACGTTTTTAAGGTCCAGGAAGTAGGCTACCTCGTGTAACGTTACATTCCCAAACTTTTAGACCGCACCGAATTGGGTTACATTTTAGACGCTATCTGCCACATTATTTTAGAAATAATTAGAGTATGTAATGATTAAGATTTGACCGATTAATGATTTTTTTTTTTTATCAATGTTTGTTATTCCGTATTGACTTTAAAATTCGCCTTATTTGGTATGTTGCATTTTCCAATTAGGGCTGAGAATGGGTGTGGCTCTCTAATGCGACTCCTCCAGCCAGAAGCACAGACCCAACGAGCTACTCACTTCATTAACTTATTTTGTCATTTTAATGGTTTTACATATGGTAAGTAACAAAAGTAGTAATAGTAATTAATTGATCGTTTCATCTTTCAGCCACCATCTATAAAGTTATATGTTGTTAATTATCGAGTTGTATTGCTGTAAAATATATCGCGCGGTAAATTCGCCATCAAATGAAATCAATTCAGACCGTCGTCCATTAAATTATGTACATCTGCCAGGAGAGCACAAATGTTCGGCTAATTAACTCATTTTAGCCTAAATGCCAAGATTGCTTGAAGAAACATGAATACACCGTGTACGATATCGACGCGGTTTCGGCCGCGTGTGGTCGAGCACTTTGAAACTTCTTCATCTAGCATTTCGTTTGACTTTAGGGTTTATTTTTAGGGAATCGGTAACGAAACGTGAGGCCTTAACGTTACTTCAAATCTAAGATGTATCAGGGCGTTAAGTTACCCCTGTGCCTCATATGTGGGTTGTATTCACAGGTAGCAGCTAATGGTATTTTGAATCTCAAAAACTTTATTGATCGTTTTTGAGAGCTCATTTTGTACTTTTTACCTGTTCGTTCTATTGTTAATAATGTGTGTTGTTGTAAAATCCACAGGATATCCAGAAGCACCGTCAGGGCTTTCCGTCCTCTCTGAAGCTGTCTAACGGCTATATTTTACCTGAGGGCAAGATGACGCCCAACACACTGTTCGTCGGCGGGATTGACATGAAGGTAACTTAATGGCGTTGATGATAAACTGACACCGCTGTTCTTTGTGTGGCCTAATGTGTAACGTTAAACTGGTTCATTGCGGTTCTAAATTCTATCTACAATTAGATAGTTTCTATCTAACGTTACTCTCCAAACCGATCCCCTTTTCACAGTGGTGGTGGACTTCGTTAAGTTACTCAACTTATGGACATTTTTTTCAAGTATCTGTATTATAGCAGAGTACTTTTATTTTGGAAAACTTTTTCTTCACTACATTCCAAAGCATGATGTCGTACTTTTTACTCCACTACATATTATAAAAACGTTCCTTGTTGTTTCGAGCTGAAGAAATCGCCACCCCCTCCGAAGCAAGAGCGGTGGTGTCCGATTCATGAACGAGCTGATTCATTTCTGAAAACCGAATCTATGTTCGGAACGGCACATTAATCACTGCTTACTGCCTAGTACATAGCAGAGGTGGCTGTAGTATCCAAACACTGTACTCGAGTACAAGTACTTATAGAAATATTTACTTAAAAGTAAATGCAATCTTTGTAGTTACTTGAGTAAGAATAAAAAATATCCAATAAAAAATCAATGACATGTTAATATTTAGATATTGAATTTAAATTTTTATCATATCTTTGCAATAAACACAGAAGGGCTGCACAATATTGGAAAAAATTAACATTGCGATATTTTGTTTTTCTGTTATATTTTACGATATAAAAACAATTTCACCAGATGATTTGAGTAGCTCTTTGAAAATAATTAATCATTCTAGTATAATTGGGGTGATTTTGTAAAGGAGTGGATCTGCATAGAAAACAAACCAATTATAAGCATAGATAAATACAATAGAAGAAAGATACAATTGAAATAACCAGTGCTTTGTTTTTCAGGTAAATCTAACAGTATTTGGGTACAGAAATTGAATAATCAAATGTAAAATAAGTCTTCACTGTATAAATGAAATATAACTAATTACTAGGGCTGGACCCGACTATTCGTTCGGTGGGTTGGTATTAGATTTTCAATTCTGCGACTCGAACAATCGTTTTGTTTTGCTGTTTTTTTTTTTTTTTTTTTCACAAAATACTCAAATACTTTTTTTTTTTTTTTTTTTTACAATTATCTTATAGTCTAGACGTTTTTAATAGGATGGACAGTTGAAGGAACCCAACCTTGTTATACTTAATAAATATTTGTTTCTTCTTAGCCTACTAAAGTGTTCCCTGCAACTGAAGTATTCTGTCTAGAGCGCACAACTGCATGAGCTTGTATGGACAGAAGTGCATGCCTGAGCTCGTATTTTGGCAAGCCGTGTTGCTTTGACATTTTGGAAAATAGAATAATAGAAACGAAATGTATTAGCCTTGTACCCGTTATTATCAATCTAAATGAATCTACTGCGAAATATAGGAGCTTGTTAACTCAAACGTGAGATTTTACTGGGACGTCACTTTTATTGAAATGTGAGCTGCGCTAATTGCGCTTGCCCGCCTAACGTTACCTTGTTCTATTTAGCCAATTAGGCCTACAATTTGTTTTATTCTAAGGGAATACATTTTATTTTATTTAAACTTCAACCTCCATTTTGTAACACACGCATCTTTAATTGTGAAACACTAGGGGTGTAACGGTTCACAAAATTCACGGTTCGGTTTGATACGATACAGTGGTGTCACGGTTCGGTACATTTTCGATACAGCAAAAAGAAATGCCAGAGAAATTTCCTATTTATTAAAAGAAAAAATATTTTTAAATAAGTTTGAGTTTTCCTACATCTTGAAACTTTCAGGTAATATAAATGGGGGTAATCTTTGAAGGATGAAGAAATGTTTTGGTCATCACATTAAAAATAACATTTAAATATAGGCCTATATTTTTATATACCGTATATATAATATTTGAGTTTTGAAGTGCAGGAAAAAGATGTATGAAGTACTTGAAAGCATTTCACTATTCCAGCCAAACTTCCATGGTTAAGAATAACAAAGGGTTTTGACACATACTTTCTTTAAATTATTTTAAACATATCTTTGAATCTGAGAACTGTTATTAATAATAATAACTTGTAAAAAGTGCAGGGAGCACCCAGCAGCATTCTGTAAACATTTTGTAAAACTTAAAGACTCTATTTTAATTTTTAAATAAAATTTTAGTAATCAAAAAGCATTTCTAATTAATTAAAATCAAACTTATTCAATTTATTTACAGTTTAACAAAAATTAAATTTTTAGGGCCTTGTGAAAAAACAAACTTTTATTTTGACGGGTTGCCGTGGAGATCTTTGAGTTTCTGTGTGTTTATGATATGTCGATAACTTTTCTCAGTTGAAGCATTAAAAAGCTCATGAAGTGACTAAGCGGCTCTGGAGATGATGTTTATGCAATCATGTCCTCATATAATGATGCGGTTGAGGCTGAAAACAGCACAAGCGTCACGCGTGCTCGTGTGTGTGTGTGTGTGTGGTAACTGAAATCACGTATCTGCGCCATTCATTTAATGTTAGAGACACGCAGGATTCATATTTAAATAGTCTTTTTGCGGTTTGATTTGTACTGACCTGCTTTTTATTAATTCATCAAAAAGTTGACAAATTCCGCGATATTCCGCTTTATACAGTAAATTCCGTTTTTATGACTGGATTCCGCCACTCCGTCTGTTCTGCATCGCGGAAATCACACAGCTCTATTTTATTGAGGTATTTTGCAACTTCAGTGTAGTAATCTATTGCTTCTTCAGCAAAGTCTGCTGCTGCCTTAACTTTGAGAGACAACTGAAGCGTGATCAGTGAAGCAGCTCTAGTCAGCGAGTGCTCTCTCGGTGTGAGAGTGCAACACTTTCAGTGCCTCAGCTTTCCGCGCTGATTGGCCGGACTCGTGACTCCCAACAAATCAGATGTGCGGGGACATTAGTCTAGTCTACAGAGTGGTGAGTTCCGACAAAGGTGGCTGCGTCAGAGCCAAATATAGCGCATTTCAAAATAAAATTATTTTATCGGCAAATCGGTTTTGAAAATGGCCGATACCGATAACCATAAAAATGCTTAATATTGGCGCCGATAATCGGTCGACCCCTAGTCCAAACTGAGAAACGGTCTGTGAAGCACAATATAATGAGTAGCGCAGTTTCGTTCCGCTTTCATTACGTTTGCCATTTGATGTTGCGCAATGTTGTGGTGGTCGCGTCAGCGTGGATTTTGTCGGCAGGAAAAATGGTCAGTTCGGTTTGTATGTGTACCGAACCAGAAGCCTCGTACCGAAACGGTTCAATACGAATACATGTACCGTTACACCCCTGTGAAACACCACTCTATGTCTGTAAAACATTGGAATAGCATAAATATTGGTATCCTAAATAATATAAGAAATTTGCGTCGTATTTAAAAAACATTCGTTATATCTTTCCCGACAAAGATTTGTCATATAGCCTACCTCTCTGCACTTTGAGAGGGATTTGGGACACGAGCAGGAAAGATGTTCCAAGCAACTGACACTTGTTGTAAAAAGTCTGAAGAGTGAATTTTATCTTCCGCAGTGTCTGGACATTTAGACTGTTTGATTTTGTGCTGCCAGAGAAAGGGAAACTAAAATCCCAAGCGCGTGTGAAATACGCTATACAAATAAACTTGATGCACCTTACCATAATAAGCACAAACTGTGTTAAATAGAATTTGATGTGCAAGCAAAAAGGTATCAGGCCTATTATATTCACATTTTTACTGTGGTAAAGTAGAAAAAACGCTGTAGGACAAATTAAAAGCGAACCAACTAGTGGTGGGAAGTTCGGATCATTTTACTGACTCGGATCTTTGTATCTCGTTCATCAAAATGAACTAATCTTTTTTTTTTTTTTTTTTGTCATTTCATTAATTTCAGCAGAATGTATTTAAAATGTTACATGTTAGCCAAATTCCCCAAACACATCAAACGTTGATCGCATTTAGAATAAGAACAAAGTTGCATTGCATGGAAAAGGCAGAATTTTGAGAAACAGAAACGATTGATTAACAGACTGCATAGCCTGAAGACCAAGATAAATTAGTTTACCTCACCTCCCGATCTAAGCCGTTCGTTCATCCTGTGACATCCTTATAAACCAAGCTATGCAGTCTGTAGTTCCGGATACAGAATTGATTAGTTCACGTTTCGAGTCTCGACTTCGGGTTCGAGTCATTCTTTCATCACGTGACAGCCACATAAGCTGAGCTATGCAGTCCGTAACTGATACAGAATTGATTAGTTCATCTTTTGAGTCTTCGGGTTTGAGTCATTTGTTCATCACGTGACAAAAGAACGAAAGACTCAGAAGAATCAGACCCGAAGACTTGAGAGGTGAACTAATCATTTCTCTTTTCGGTACCGACAGCATAGCCTCTATGGGACTGACAGGAAGAAAGAAAGACTCGGACCCGAAGACTCGGACAGTCTCGTTCTGTTTCCAGTACAGAACCCATAGGATATTGCGCATAACACAAAATGAACGAATCACTCTCTGAGACAACTCGGTAGTCCCGGGTCATATTAAAGATTTGTTCAAAATGAACGAATCGTTCATGACCGACCCATCACTAGAACCAAATGAAGAAACGTTTATAATCCCCTGCGAAAATGGGCATGAGTCAAGTGAAGATTGGAAGGGAGTGAAGATTTGGGAAAAATAACAAGATATTCCATGTCCAATGATAAATACGCTGATAATCGGGTGACCAGATCGCAAAACATAATACAAAGCTCAGATTTATGGGCTCACGTGACGTACCTCTCATTCGGCAGGAATCCAAATGTTTCCATGGCTGCAATGTAACATTTAATTGCTAACATATTATTTATTTTGTAAACAAAGCTTTGTGCTTCTTCACTCGTGTCATAAACAGCTTTCACGCACAAAAAAGTGCTACTCAGCCACCGCGGTGATGCGGTTGTGAAGTTTACCGGCACAGCCCTACTGCCCGCGTGATGCGCTCCGATCCGGCTTGCGCTGTTCTGTAGTTTATTAAAAGTTTATTGATTCTG